AAAAAAAAAAAAAAAAAAAAAAAAAAAAAAAAAAAAAAAGATATTCTGCCTCTTATCCCAAGATCCACAGAGATTCCAGATCAAATTTTCAAGGTGCTGAAAAACAGCAGCTCTGCTTAAAGGCAGTAGCATTACAGTAAATACCCATCACCTTTGAAAAAAAAAAAAAACAACCAAAAAAAAAAAAACAAAACCTTAACTTTAGAATCATAGAATCACCAAGGTTGGAAAAGACCTAAAAGATCATCCAGTCCAACCGTTCACCTATTCCCAATAGCTCCCACTAAACCATGTCCCTCAACACAACATCCAGCCTTTGTCTTGCAGCACACCTAAAGAATGTTGTCTTCAACTCAAAGGAAGTCTGTATTTTTCAATTTAATATCGTAAGGGATGCCAGTTTCAAAAGATTTTAGTTTGTGGCACTGAACTACGATTTTTGATTTTGTCCTTTTTTCTTCACATACCTTCTTACACATCCTACATGAGCACAGAGGTCTTTTCTTCCTAATTAAAGCCCACCTTCTCTCACATAGCACTGAGCTCTTCTACAAGTTCCTCACAAACTGCTACCCACAGAAATTTCTTTGCCCTCAGTTATAAAACCTCATTCATCTCCTTGCAAAGGTTTCAGACTTTCAGGACACTGAACAACAGACAAAAACTTCCAGAAGGCACGTAACACTTCCTATTGGTTTTGTTCATTTTAAACTTGATCTGTACATGACTCTGACCCAGTCTCAATAGATACTCAGACACTAACTAGCTTAGTATTCCAGCGCTACTTATAAAATACAACAAAGTTTTAAATCTTAACATAAAAACATTCCCTATAAGTACTTATTTTCCTTTATTTTAAACATTTCTATCTCCACCAAGTACAAGAGAAGCTCAGGAATACAAAGCTGTAAACACACCACATTGGTATTGCAGACCTCCAGGACTAAGCAAGGTGAATTCTCTACTCCAACTGTTCCATTATTGGTCCACATTACCTGGGTTATTTTGCTTAATCTTAAACACAAAGATATGGCAAGGATCAGAAGAACTATTGGTGAAAATCAGGCATGCTGCATCACTAGTCCTAAAACCAAAGGAGATTAAAACGATTAGAATGGTACCAAACCCACTAGAAGCTGGCAAGAAACACCATAGAAAGCTGTGCATACTGAAGAGGTTGTTTAAACGATTCTTACAGGGGAAAGAGAACTTAGGGATAGAACAGAGACAATGTGGGAACCATGTAAAATTTATTATGAGATTTAAGAGGATTATAGTAATATGCAATACTCTCTATGGGACATTTAAGGGAAGTACCAATGGTGAGTGAATGGAGAGACAAGTGAGAGTGTGTATAAGTCCATGCCCAGGGCTCCCCTGAGCACACAGACCACAAACAGCACCTGCAGAATTCTGAACATCCTCCTGTCAAAAAGGCCCAGACCACACCTACCCTGTTTTCACAAGTAACATGTGAAGCCATGGGAACACCTGATTCCAGAACACAGACTTTACCTTGGAATGTTAAAAGAAGGTGCCCCACTTGAATATATTTGATGACAAGACTAAGATCTCTGCATAATACCAAACTCACAGAACTTGAAAAAGAAAAGGAATTCATATCCAAATGCAATAGCCTCTGTATCTTTAAAATTTCTTTTCTCAGTACAGCACCAATCTCTCTGATAAGCTGAGAGGTTATGGTTATCTTACTGGATAAACAGGAAGATCTTACTGATCCTACTAGAAGCTCCACTTGGGGGCCTGTCTGAAATCAACAGCACGGAAAGGACTCTGAACATAAAGAGATGCTTTGGACACAGTTCTGCCATGCAGCAGAGTTCCATGCTGTGACAAACCTAACTTCAAACAGAAACCTCTCCAGCTACATTCAGAGTTTTGCACCAAGGCTAGTGAACCCCACGTGGTAAAGCCTGTTCACACCACAAGTTAACATGACTTAGTAAATGAAAAACCAACTACATCAACTCAATATGAAGAATCAAGGCTGGAAAATTCTAATTCCAGAATATCAGTCTGATTTTGCAAATTGCTCTGGACTTGACTACAGCTGTTTCACAAACCATGCTGTGGATCACACATTCTCCCTAAATTTTCTCAATGTTTCAGGAAGGAAATAAACTATTTGGCACAGACACACTGTATTAGTGCAGCAGGCACTCAGCCAGCATCAGTCTATTCCCTGATCTGTTCCACTGCTTCTCATCATCCTACTTATAGCTCTTCAAATCTGCTTTTCTTCCTGCATAGCTCCATAAGGTAAGAGATCCAGAGAGCAAATGATACATTATGGCCTCTTATCACTTTATCATGATGATCCAGGAACTTTGCCCAAGCAGCGTTGAAACAAACAAGTGAAAGAGTAAAAACTACAAACACCTATGGATGTTAGGACCAGTATAGTAAACAAAAACAAGCACTCAATATGGTAATTACAAAGAGGGAAAAAAAACTCAGGTTATTATAATTCAATTCATTACTTTTTGCTAATAAAGTCAGAGGGTTGGAAGAAATGCTGTTACTGACTGCAAACAGCAGTAAAAGGTTGGAAAACCTCCTTTTGCATGGAAAATACTAAGCAACATTTGTGGCCACTAAATGCGTCACGTTTCTGCAAGAGGGTTACAGAATAAAAGACCCAGTAAATTCCAGAAGTTTTCTGAGTACCCGAGTAACTCTAGCAAAAAGCCAAATCTGCCTCACTGGAAAAGAGGCAAAGCATTTCCCAGTCAAAACAAACAAGCAAACAAAACCCTCCAGGCTACTGGTACCTTGGGGAATGTAAAGCTTTTATTATTATTTTTTAATATAAACTTCAAATATGAAACTTATTTTAAGTCTCATCTAAAGTTTGTCTGTTACAAATTTGTGCCATCTTTATCCAGATTGAGAGTTTTAATTAATATAAAAAGACTTATTCAACTATGCTCTTATTAACATTAGTAACTTTAACAGTCTTTGAAGTTTTGTCAAGTCATAACAATAGTTAAGAGCAAAACAAAACAACTGTTTGTAGAGAGGTTCTTTTAGATAAAAGGGAAACAATACATTGTGCTGCAATAAATAGGAAGCAGAATATTTGCCAACTGGAATAATCAAGATCTACTCCATTGCATTAAGGTCATTTATTATTTTACTAGGTTTCTGTCAAAAATTTCCCTAAGTATAACTGGTTTCATGGTTCTAATGTAAAGAATAGTTACCTGCCTCTCAAAAATCTGTATCAATTTCAATTTTATTTTGCTGTAATGGTATCAGAGCATAGAACTTGAACTACTGATATCCTACACCAGTGATCAAGCTATCTGCTCACATCAGAAATATCAAGCTCCACTGAAATACAGGGTTAGAGCAGTAACATCAGACTGGTAATAAATGATTCCAGGGCCAATTCTTATGACTAGCCAAAGCAGGCAGTGAGTTCACAAATTGGAATCAGTTTATGCTTGTAAGAAAAGCAACATCTCTGGAGCCCATACATTTGTCTTACCAATGCCCATAATATTTTGTACTGTGTATTCATTCAACTGTGACATTTTCTTTCATTGCAACATTTTGTATATGTGAAAACAATTACTGCACTACTGCCACAATATGTTTCTTCTTCTCTGACACCACTGGCACAGATCCTGGTTTGCTGTGCTTACGACGGTTCAACTCCCTAGAAACAGAAAGCAGAAAAATGCAGTTCAGTAGTCAGCACAAAGTTTTATCAAACAACAGCTTCTTAAGCGAATAGTGGAGACATCTTAAAATTCAAATACAATAATAACAGTTTTACTTTTAACTGAACCAACATATCTCCCTATTTGAAAAGGAGCAGTGCACCTTTGTTAAGCACCCTTAAAATCAGGCAATCCTGAAAGATGAGTAAAACCCAACACCTTTGTTTTTACTCCAGCTATGAGATTAACAGTAAAGTATGCCATATTCTGCTCCAATACATGACAATGATCCACATGACTGAAAATACTCATCCTAGAGTCTGACTAAAAAAAAAAAGAAAAAAAAAAAAAAAAAAAAAAAAAAACGCAACTAAAAACACAAAACCCCCAAAACATTCCCCGCAGACAGGCTGTTCTGTCGCCATTGCAGTGTTGCATTATGTCACAGTAACAGAGCGTTGTAGCTCCTTATAACATGACATTCACTCCTGGTCCACCAGCAAACTACTGGGAAGCAGCCACTCCTTGTTGATGCTGGCATTTGTCCGTGTTTTTCTTACAATCACAGGTTAATCAACCCACTGATTCCTGATCCCTTTTCAGATGCTAGAAGTAGCTCATACTTGCTCCTCTCACACATTCCCATACACTGCTGCCACAGCACCGGTTTTGTCAACATTTTGTTAAAACAAAGATAAAACAAAGGTGGGAAAGGAAGACATACTTCCGCCGCCGAGCTTCTCTCATGATCCGCTGCTCTTTGATTTGGCAATAGATACTCTTAGGCAAGTGACGGTGCCGAGCGATGCGTTTGATCTGTGGGTGATGCTGGAACTTCTCCTTCAACTTCTGATTGTAATTCATAGCTGCCTTCTCTCGTGGTGCAAGCTACAAGGAAAACAACACAGGTAAATGTATAAAAAACAGGGACTTGACTCCAGGTTTCTCTAAAAAGCAGTTTGAACTTTTAATTCAAATGGCTTCTTTCTAGCAAGTTTTAGTGCTTACAGCTATTTGAGAATTACAGTAGATAAACATTAAAACCAACATCTTCAATGATGACTCACTGCTCAAACATAAAACATCACAGTCTCAAAGTTCAGAGCAGTAACTGAATTCTCCCAGAACAAGATTTTAATGTGCTCTACACAAGGAAGGAAGAATAGAAAAGGCTGATAGGGTAAAACTTCCTTGCTCAGTCTGCTGTTCTCCTAACCAGTGTAACTTGTGCTGTGAAACTAAGATTTGCAGGTTTTAATCGCTAGTCAGTATAAGTACAAAAGCTGAAGAGGAACTGTGTTCATGAACTGCTTTGCAGACAGATCTGTACATGGCCAAAACCTTACATGGTGTCTTGATCCATTAGGAAGCACACTGCATATGAAAATTCAAGTATTAACTTGCCTATATGGTACACAGGGCATTCCAGCTTGTATCACAAACATGAAATATAGGAATGCCAATGTTACCCCCAAAAGACAAACTGTATCCACATTTAAAATTATGTCTAAGCCACCATTAACAACACTGAAAGTGAGAAGTGTCTTTCTTGCAGCTTAATCTCTGGAGGACTTATTTTTTACCTAGGCATGTTTCCTCTGGTCCTAGCACTTGTTTCATAAAAGGAAAAACTGCCTGCAGTGTTTCTGCTTAAAGCATGCACTGCTTCACAAGGAATAGCAGTTTCTAAGTATTGTGGATTCATATGGACTTGAACCACAGCAGCAAGCAAAGACATATGAAGAAAAGCCCTGTACTGCACAAGTCACTTAGGCTGTAGATATGTTACTGTGACAAGCCCTGTCTTCTCCTTCCTACCTGTATTTTGTGAAGACACTACAGAGCTCCACTGTTTCAGACATCTAAAGACCCTTTGTGCTCTCAAACAAGCAGCAGCACAAGTCTTTTACCCTTCCCCATGCACTGAATCCACTGCTAACTGCACTTGAAGTCTTACGGACAAAGCAGTAGTTCAGAGTTCTGTTAATCAGTGCCTGCAATGGACTTAAGTGCATTGATTTCTTACTTTCTGAACAGTAAACAGAACCTGAGTTTCAGACAAACACAGACACAGAAGGCAGAACAACAAACCCTTCCCCAATTTATTACACCAAAAAAGTGGGAATTCCACCGCCATTATGGAACATACCTTTTTTTTTTTTCCCCTTTTGAAACTAGCAATCAGCTATTTCTTCTCTACTCCAGAGGTCACCTTTAGAAGCTACTTCAATCACATTGCATAAATTCTGGATATATTATACAACTTAGTTAAAAAATATCACTAATGATCTGTTAGCAATAACTCAAAAATATGGCAAAGCAGTTTCTCTTCTAGGACAAAAACAAAGCAGGTATCAGATGGAGAGTTGCTCGTCACTCAAAATTCTTACTCAAGTATCACAGTATTAACTTTTAATCTCCATTTGTCCACACCATCTTATTCACAGATGGAAACCCTTCTGCTTTACCTACATTGCTCATAACCTCTCTAATTGCAGGTGAATACATTCCTCAATTCTAACACAATAAAGCCAGTCTCTCTAGCGAAATTCATTCCAGTGAGCCAGCCTCAAGAGTTAGTTCTCTCTCAATGAGTCCCAGGTGTTCCCATTCCGCCCAAAACTGCCAACATAATCAAAATCAAAGAGCTTTTATTTTAATTATATTCAATTATTTTTCTTTAATTTAAGAAGAGCAAATTGCTGCAGATTTAGTATAACTCTGGTGATTCTGCAGACAAGAGGTGAATCTGCAGATTAAAGATACATCCAGGATACCTTATTTTAAAAAATTAATATAGATTAAGTAGTGGATATACCGAAGTCTCTTCCCATCTCTGTGTGAAATACAGCTTTTAGAAACACACCTAGCTGATGTCTCGGCATTCAATTACTGAACATCAGTGCCTAATATGCCAGGCTATGCGTCCACATGATGACTAAAAGAAAACAAAGCAAGAAGACCCCTGTATTACTGACAAGTGTCTATTTGCCAAAAATACTAGCAAGCCAAGAAAGCAGACTGAAGTAAGGTGCCAAATTCCAATTTCTCTCTTGCAGAGGCCATCTTGGACAGTTGAAGAAGACCACTGCTTTCCATATGCTTTGAGCTGAGGAAAATGCCATGAAGGCAGCAACACAAGGTAGCAGGATTCAAGATTTTGTTTACAGGAACTATAACACTCTGTAGAGCATTAAAAAAAAAAAAAATATTGGGATTTCCATATCACGAGTGAGACACACTCAGATGACTTGCGACCCTTTTTCCATATATCCTGAAGTGAACATCCAATTCCCTCCCTGTATGAGAAATCAGAAATCACGCGTATGCAAGGATTTGTGCTGCTACAAGAGCATTGCTATGCAGCAAACACAGTGAAAAGAGGGAGGAAGAGCCCTGAAGTGCGAGCTGCCAGCAATAGGAAAATACGTGCTTCACTAAACCATGCCCTCTTTTCTTTCTCCAGATGACAGAAGCTGGTTATTTCCTGACCCCTCCATGCAGAAGGAAGGTAAGCATTTTTCCAGAGCCCTGACTGCAGAGCTAAAGTCACCTTTGGCAAGTCATACTTCTTTTAAGTCTGTGCATTTGTATCACACAGTATTTAAAAACTCTGCACTATTAGTTTCCTCTAATTCAGCAGGGGAATAGGAAGTTGCTGTTTATCTCTCCCGTCCAGATTGCCCTTCGAAGTTAAGGCAGATAGAACACAGATGAAACATTTTTAGACTGCAAACATATCCCAGCAATTCCCCACAATGTAATTTGTTATTTGTAATTTCTCCAACTGCTATGCTGCAAATACTCTAAAATCAATTGCTATGAAGTTTATTACTCATTATTCCCTTGAATCAAAACCTTACAGCTTCTTAACATCTAAGCAGACAAAAGAAAAGGTAACAAGGAAGTGAAGAGCACAGAATCGTAGCTAGAGGGATGGAGCTACGTGTGCACTGAATCACAAAGGAAAATCACTCTGAAGAGAATGCCTTGTCACACAATACTGGTGCTGCTTGTTATCAGCCCCATCTCACAAAACAGAACCGTATACCAGAGGGAGACTGAAAGGATATACAATTACTTGGACTGTTTTGATGCTCTCCTGCTTATGCTCATTGCTAGACCAAAACCAAGACTTGTAACTGTACTTTCTCCAATCTCACTCAGTCCATACTTGAAAGCTGTTATTTCTGTGTCTTGTAAGAATGTATAAAACCTCTGTTCCACTTCTATTACACCCATTTTTCACACTAGTTTTATGCTTACTGAGATACAAATCATTCCCAAGCATCAAGTTTTCTTCTCCAATGACCCAGCACTGTCTAATCCTCAGCTATTTTACAGTTTTACTAATTGAAACTTACTCTATCACTGCTTTTCCAGTCTTTTTGCTAGGACCTTTGTAACTTTTTTCCTCCAATCCAAAGGTATTCCTCTTCTTCAGAAATTCCAACCCTCTCCAAGACTTCAGGCACAAAAGCCTCACAAACTCATCACATTTTATGTACAGTATTTGAACAGTTTGCAGTACCCTAAAACTCCTGTTAAATTGGGCCTTTTGTTGCAGGACATGCAGAGCTACACGGTTACTGCTTTAAAAACAAAACCTTATAAAATCTTATTTGCCTTCACACTGCTACCGGGAAAACAAAACCAAAAAAAGCAATTTTTATAAAATAATAATTAAAAAAAGCACTGCATATTATTTTAAAGCAACTTCTGCAATTGCCTCAACAGAAAGATTTGGGTTTGTTACCCCTGCATAAAAACTCATTGTCAGTGGAGAGCAGACAGCATGCCTCTGGCTCCTTAAGAGACTTGGGTTCTTATTTCAGTGTTTCACTGATTTTAAATAATGAGTGCAATGCCAAATACATTAAAAACCTAAAGAAACATGCATGTCAGAACTGATGACTGCTAGGGTAGCCACTGCTCAGAAAGTACAACTCTCCAACTGGATTAATGTTCATCAGTCACAACCCAAATACTGTATTCAGTCTAACTCCCTTGTCTCAGCACTGTGAAGTTCCAGGTAAGAATACACTCCCAACAAAGAACACAACATCTGATGATTACCTTCTCTGTTTCTCTTGCAGGATGTTGGTTGCTATCCCTCCGCACCCCAAAAAAATCCATCTCAAAATGCAATGTATTCAAGATGCTGGCATTATATCAGAAACACTGTGACCTTTGGATGAGTCATTCAATCAAATCTTCTCAGCTAAGAAAAATAGCAGACCAAGCAACTAAGCATTTAAGACACATTCTGACACTTCCGACAGAATTACTGAATGTTCAGCTTGAATATTTGAAATGTTCAAAAAATAGGCGCTGACTATGGAAGAGCTGGACATTTATAAACTGAGTGAGCACATGTCTGTGAAGATAAGAACACCAGTCCTCCAACAAAGAGCAGATGCTAAAGAAAAACAGTGGAATCTGATAAGTAGCCATTAACACCTGCAACAAAGTCAGGAACAACCAAACCAGATGGACAAGGATTAATACTGCTGCCTGCATCCAAGTGATAGTCTGAAGTTATATCCAAGAAAGTGATAAGCCATAAAGACTCCACCCTAAGTCTTCACACCTATAATTAATCTCCAAACGTGTGAAAAATAAGATTTCATAGTGCTGCCATGCATTTTTACAGCAGCTATAGCAGCTCCAGACAGTGACTACTTCAACATTCAAAATTCTATAACTTTTTAAATTCAAGGTTTCAGCAATATAATGATTGAGCATGCTTCCACATAAGATACAGGGCTGTGAAACATTATCACTTTTTATTATAATATAATTTTTGCGAGTTCATCAGCGCCATCCATCTGAAATGAGAGTAGCTCTACATAATCTGTTCCTTTGAAGTTTTCCTGAGTAGTCTTGCTTTCTTAAAAGTGTTTTTCGATATTGCAAGGTAACACGATGCTTACTCTAAATGATAACTTCAGTTTCAGATAATGAAAAATAAAGAAGGAAAGAAACATGCAACTGATCCTACACATTACAGATAACTGACAGTCATCTTGGTAGTTGTCGGCCAAACGCAACCCTACACACCAGACTCTCTGAGGTATGCCAAATAGCAGCAATATACTTAAAAAACAGGCACAGCCTATCATGCATAGAATTCACAGTCAGGTTAAAGAACAAGAGCATTAATGTGCAGAACATACTCAGCACCTGACAATCAAAACTGGCAGTGCCTCTTTTAGACCCATCCACAGCCAGTTCTCACTGATGCAAATACTACAGAAGAGGACAGAATGTCATTTTCTCAGGTACTTGGACTATAGTGATGTAGTCCCTTAGGTACATAGTATTCCTGTGACACAGAAGTCCCTGGAAGTTCTCAAAAATGTTCAGATGTTGTACTGAGGGACATGGTTTAAGTGGGAAATACAGGCGATGTGTGGACACTTGGACTGGAGGATCTTAGAGGTCTCTCTCAACCCTGATTCTATGATTCTAAGCAGTCAGTTTTGCACATACTTCTAAAAGCAAAGTATCCTTATTGTTCCATAGGAAGGAGCTGATGTTATCTAGTAGTCAACAGATTGAATTTTGTTTTTATTTTAAAATGTTAGTAATCATTCTATACAAAAATGCTATTTTGACATTCTTTTTACCCACTTGTCCATCACAAAAAGGTTACAGAATAAAGATGTGTGGTAAAAATACCACAGATTATTCTGTTCTGGAACAGAATGTTAGAGAGACAGAATGGTCCTTCTGCATTAACTATGAAGACTGTGATTAATGAGACAAAACTTCAGCTAACCCTGTAAAAAGGGTGTTCCTGTGAGCCTACACATACACCAACAGAAAAACAGGTAACATGTCTTGCCCAGTACTGCAGCATCTAAACAAATTCAACATAAAACTCATATCAAAATGTCCAGAACAAGCTCTTCAAAGCCCTTGAGATTCACAAGCACAAACCTGATATTTACATGTTAAATATTTTACTAAAGCACACTTGGAAAAAATCCCAAGAATCAGTTCAGAACAGAAAAAAAAAAATAGCATCCCAAACACAGAGTTAGTCCATTAAAGAAATCCAACTTAAATGTAACAGCCTGTAACCACACATGCTGTGCTGTACAGGGTATAAAGGCATTTTTCCCCCCCATTACTTTATAGCAAGCATGAGAAAAAGTAACAAGCCTTCTGAATGCTTATGTTGAGCTATGGCTAAAGACATGCTCGTCATTTCAGCTGCGCTGCTCCATATGCAATCTTCCCCAGTGCCCAGCAGCTCATGGTCTTTCCCAATCCACCCTGCATCCCCAGCACTCTCAGTGCTCCCACTGACCCACCACCCCTGCCAGATTCACTTCCCTCCCTGCAGACATTATCACTTCAACATTCCCCACACACAAACAGCTGTATGGAACAGACCTGTCCCTTTAACAGTACAATATTGTTCCCTGAATTCCAGCTTCCCTCTCCTCCCACCTCAGTATTCTACAAGATCAAGTCGGAATTCCTCCAAGAATTACTTGACAGTTTTGCTTTTTCTGATGAGCTCAGAAAATGCAGTGTAAGCAACCCCAAGGTACCTTGACAACATAAAGCTACATGAAGGCATTACTTCCAGTGGACAAAGCATCAAATTCTCACTTTGAAGTTAATACTCAGTACTTTAACTCATCTGTGTGAATGAATATATGCAAGTGGTAACTGTAACAGAACATTTTGGCTTTGTCCACTAATAACCTCTTGAACACGCGTAACTGAAAAGATATGCTACTAATTAGCTTGAAGTCCTCTCTTACTAGGAAGGCTTCAACCAAACTGGCTATATTGTATAATTGTACTAAATAGAGTTCAGTCTAGCTCACACGTTTGATATTTGAGAGCTACATAAGCTAATGACCATCTCAGTTATGCACTGCAGTAGAGTTTACTTGCAGCAGTGCATATGCTTATTGTGGCACGGACTCAACACGAGTCAGTCAGGTCAAAACTTTTTATAACTTTTTATAACTTTTTATAACCTTAAGCTTTAGTAGACAATTACACATAGCAAACTCAAATGTACTGCTTTCAGTGCAAGGTTATGCATACTCACCTGTAGCATCAAGAAAAAAACGTTAATTAGAACTCATTATTACTGTTAAAATTAAACAAGATGAAAATTACCTTGTGTAGCGATAAAAACGCACTTCATCTTACTAAAAGCCACAGTAAACACAAAGAGCTGTATTGCACACGTTAGTTTTCAAATTAAATACAAGTCATGCTACAACTTTACATTTTTCCTTTAGAAATAGAGTCAGAAGCTGAACAGGCTAACCAGCTGTCACAACAAAAAGAAAAACTACCTCAAACATCCAGCCTTGTGATAACAAAAAGCAAAAGTCTCTTACCACCCCCAGTTTTTCAGAAGCATTGGCCTTCCACAGACGAATATTCATCTCATCTGAGCCACACAGAATGTATTTATTATCTGAAGTCCATTTTACAGTGATGACGTGCTGCATCCGCTTTGTATGATACACCTCTCTAAAGTAAAGAGAAACATTTTTAAACGGTTTATTATCTCTTTTCCTACCAATGTCGCCTTTCAAATAGCAGAATTTTCTGTTCACAAAAGAATAAGCTTTTACTTTTTGTTTTTAAATAGTTTTCAGAACGCAGCCTCACCCACTGCTCCCAACCCCTGTGGCTCATCAGTCACGCACTGCAGCTGAGACCATCCCCTTCCCTCTACCCAGTTATCTTTAAAACCCAAATAGTAGCGGAAGAGAAATACAAAATCATTATTCAGAAGCCATGAACAACTAGACTGAGCTTGATCTGGGCAGTGTGGGAGTGTGAGAAGAGCATATAACCCATGTATCACCTTAAGTAAGCTTTCGTAACATTAACCATCACTGTAATTCACACTCAAGTGATGCTCTACACTACAGGAACACTGCAAAGAACTGTGCACAAGTACCTTCCAAAAACACCGATGCTTACATCAGGTTTTACTGACATTAAGGTTTAATACTGTGTAAGCACATATGCATTTCCATAAGCATTCCTGTAGTTACTGTCATTTTAATATTTGGCTCAGTAATGCATTTTTTTCATTCACCTTTGAGGAATTCAGGATTTTTCCCTTCCTCCCTGAATTTTCAGCCTCTCTCCCTTCTCTTGCTTTCACCACAACTGATTAAATTCCATTTTTAGAGAAAGGAAAAACACAGAAGATGGCCAAATAACTTGGATATGTCATTTAAAAAAAACCCACACAGACATCAAGCTCCATTTACCAGGCATTTATTGACTTGAAATCAGCTTCCTAATATGTATTATTTCTCATGGCTATACAACTTTACAATTTTTTTATTTTTTTTTATTTTTTTTTATTTTTTTTTATTTTTATTTATTTTTTTTTTTAAATACAAAGCAGTGGAAGTTAGGAGATTCAATTTCAGCCTGGTGGGAGATCAGAAGTCTGAGTGAATAGGAACCCAATCAGGGTTCTTGTTCATAAATACCCTTAAGTGCCACCCCTGTTTTCCCAAAAGGGATCAGACATTCTGTTTGGAGATCTTTTACTCCCCCATAGTATTTACATCAACTATGCTGTTCCCAAAGAGTACAGCTTTTAGCAAATTTTAGGTGTCCCAGAATGCCCCAGTCAGCTTATACAAAGCTAAGTTCTTCATTTGAAAGGCTCTTCCCCACTAGGATTTACAGCAGTCAAAGAAAAAGACAGAAAAAGAGAAAAGGAGAGGAAGAGAAAATGTTTCATTCAGGGAAAAAGAATGAGAAAAAGAGGAAAAATGTCTTCCTTATCAACAACCTGCTGTAATGTGGAATAAAGCCTTTAACTCTTTTACTGCTGCATTATGGGATCTGTTATTTCAATGAAGTGATTTAACTACACCTATCACCCCTCCTGCGAACATTCCACAGTACAGAAAACCTGGGGAGCACAGATTTTAACCATGCTGTTTAACAGTAGAAAAGTAGGAAAAGGGAAAAAAAAAAAAACCAAAAAAGGCATTACACTGCCTAACTATATTTCAAGAAGTATTGCAGGACAGGAAAAACAATTAAAACTACTCATAGGTTATGTTATAAAGGAAAACAACAACAGCCCTTCTCAATCTCCAGTGAGGTACAGGAGCATACAGACACGTTAAGTAATGCATACAAAATTACAACAACCCAAAATAAAGACACAGTCCTCCCAGTTAATATTCAGCACTCCCCATCCCCTCTAAACCACCTGAAATTTAAACCTTCTTGGGGGACAAGGTTAAGGTGGGGAGACAGTGGAAGGAGAGTAAAAGAAAAAGAATAAAGGAGAGAAAAAAACCCAAAAGGCTGACAGAGAATAATGAAGGTGGGTTTATGAAGAACAAATGATACCAGATCAACCTGATAACTTGCTTTGATTTTCATCAAATTGAAAAAGAAAATAAAAAAAACAGATTCAATCTGAACTTCAGCAAAATATTTAAAACATTGCTTTATGAAATAATACATGAAAATCTAATTCAAACTGAACTGTATTCACAGCGCTGTCATATGACTCAGAACCTGGTTAACAAAGTATGAACACTGTACTGCAGTGCATGGAATTAGATCACAAAAGCATTCCATACTGATCCTTGGGAATCCACAACAGTGATTTTCACAGCATCTTTACTAATCATCCATACAGGATTAAGACAGTGCTGGAAAACCAAATGTTACAATATCGTAAGGCACTGTGAACTTCAGTGGTGACACAGTACAAAGTGACTTATAAAGACTGTAGACAGATATACAGGGAAAGAAAAGGAGATTGATCTTAGTTTAAAAAAAAAAAAAGTACACATAAGAACAGTAGTTCAGAACTGATGCTCCATCTTCTTGGAAAGCTGTCATGGAAAAAGTACAAATTCATAGAGTATGCATAGGGGAAAAAGATCAATTTCGTATACAATAAGTGGTATCACACACAGCAATGGAAGTTGGTCTTCTATACAAGTAACTAATGCTTTCTTAGACACATAGCCTCCATCCTGGATACTTATGCAGCAGAAAACAAAACAAAAAAAACAGAAGAAAAAAGCCAAATATAACATAATTCAGAAATTGTACCAACAGGACTCCACTGTAATTTTAATACAAAATAGCTAAAGTACAGTTACTTATTAAATACAAGTTCTACTCTAAGACATTCCAGAATTAGCTGTTGGTTACAGGACCTGTTAGTGTCAAGTTGTATACAGAATAAGGCTTCCAGATCCACTGCAAGTGAATTCCTCAGCAAAGTTAGGAATTAAGAACTTTTGTGGATTACTGAGGTGCAGGAGAACAAGACAGAGTTGTAAAATCACTCACCTGCTGTGACCTTTGTCTACAGGAAAAATGCGGACAGACTTATCGAAGCTGGCAGAAACAAATTCTTTCCCAGTGGGTGAATAATCCACATCAAGAACAGCAGACACGTGGTCCATGTGTACCATCACAGGTGATGTAAGGTAGCGCATGTCAAAAGTATACAAGCTGCAAAATAAACATATCAACTGCTTAGTGAAACTCCAAAAACAACTCCAAAGTGAATAGTTCTTTTCGCTTAACAGCTGCTTTAATCATGCACACACCAAACCTCAAGAGAGAATTCTTCAAAACTGCAAGTAACAAATGAAAGGAAAGAACGAAGTAGTGCTTAGAGCCTGAAAAAAAGCGTAATAACTAGAGGCTGAACCACACCTTGGTGGGTTTTTTTTGCTCACTCTCAAGTAACAAAGATCTCTACCACTCCGTACAGCATCTGTCCCTGGGCCATTGACTTCGCCTATTTCTCCAACTACCACACTGCCTTTCTTAGCTCCCTCCTCAGACATATCATGTGAACTCAGACAAGCACTTCTCAATCAGTTATCCTCATCATGTCAAGCCCATCAACTCCTAGGTTTCTAGACTTTCCCATATTTGAACCTCCTGGTAATTCAGTGTCTGCTGCGAAATTCCTGTTTGGTTGGCACCTTTCCCTATAGCCTAGTTGTCTTTGTACCAGACAACCACTGACTGTAGGAATCCAAGTAAAGCTTGGTCCTTCAGCAGAAAGAGACGCTACGTCAGCAGAGCTGAAGACCCGCACCATTTACACTGCCTGTAAAAATGAAAATGAACATAGCTGCTGGAGCACAGCTGGTTTGCTGTTAAGCACTTCACAGCTGAGGCTTACTTGTACTCCTGTGAATTAGCAAAACCTGCTGATACATAGTAAGGTGTAATAACTGCATACATCATTTATTTGCCCAGTACCAATAAATAAAGGTGCGTTACAGACAAAGCATTTAATTAAATTAGCTTTAAGTGTACTATTTGGTAAAACTACTGTATTAAAATTCTCTCATTTAGCAGTAAGCTTTTCACCCTCCTTCCAACAGATGAATGCATAGTTGGAATTAATTCAATGTCTTCTACTCAATTACTTACTGGCAACTATACCTCCTCCTCCTGAATTCTCAAGAAAAAGTATGCTAGCATCACTTTCAAAACTGCTACTTCATGTAATCAGCTAACACTTCATGCATGTTTTTGATACACGCTGCACACAGTTTACCAGAGAAGAATTTACCTTAATGGCTACCAAATTTAGCTTACTGCAGGGAAAACAGTGATGTATAAATAGATTAGATAGCCTTATCACACCATAACCAGAACAGGTGAAAAGTAATACTTTCAGTACAATGTCAGTTTTCAAGGTTTGGGCCAGATTCTATCTCCTTGGAAAAACAGCCTTAAGATAAGTGATAAAAAATCCTATGTTCTAAAAGAAAGCAGTGATCTATTGTTAGATCACTGACTTCCTGGAAAAAAGGATACAGAGCACATTTTGCAGTGGCCTAGTTTTGAAGAGGCAGCTTTTTCAATAGCAGATTAGCTATTCACAGGCACAGTATCGCCCAGAAGTAAAAAACAGCTCTGAGAAACTGAAAGGGTAAGTACTGCAGTCTTTGGAACCATTTCATAAAAGATTAATTTTAAGAGATGTTCACATCAAAATAGGTGATTGGTACAATATATCAAGCTTCATAAGACCTGGTAAGAAAATAAACACTTATACTGATTGCCTCAGACTGGACCAATATTATTTCCCTGCCAGGTCCTACTGTAAATTATGCTTGCATAGGTTAAAACTGTATTTCTGTGAATTGCACAGGCTGCCTGGAAGAGGAACAGGCAGTCTAGTACCAATTGTGGGGTCTGTTCTGTGGGGTTTTTTTGTTTGTTTGTTTGTTTTTTCCCCCTTTTTAAGTCACTGAGTTTATAATTTGCTAGGTTACTACTTAAATGTTCAAACTTGAAGTTTACATAGGTGTTTTTTTTTTTTTTTAATGTGTTTTAACATGATGATAAGTCACTAGCAGACTGAAAAACATACCATGATCAGGATTATCAACAAGCAGGATAACACTTACTTGTAATCTTCGTTTGCTGCAGTAAAAATAAAAGCTTCCATGGGGTTCCAACAGAGTGTATTTGTCCTCATGTTCAAGATAACCTGAAAGACATTTACCCATTGATACCTTGCTGCAGACAGTAAAATACTGGTTATATTTTAAAGCTTTTCATACCACAAGAGATAAGCAAACACCTTCTAGATACATAAGCATGGTAGACCAGTAGCAACATACTTGAGGAGACGTATATTTAGCAGCACTATGATTGGAACTCAAGACTTCCTGCCCCTCAACACGCGATCACTGCAACTAAATTTTACTTTGCAAGCCATCTTGAAAGCAAGTACTTCTCATCAGTCATTTATCCAGAAACTAACATGTAAACCTGGATCATCTTAAAGATCTGACTTCATCATATTTACAGCTACATTAATGTATACTGTTAAATACTGTATAAACAAACATGCCTAGGAAATGGTATTTCAGAGAATGTTGTCATTAATTAATGCTCTGAACCAGCATCTGCAAAGCTATTATAACATTCTGATGTATAACTATGGGGCACTTTACGAACAAATAGATCATTTTCTGTAACACTGCAGGCCAGTCATAATCCTACTTGAAAATCCTGAAGTTTGAATATTTCTGCTCTCACCTTACCGTATCAAAAAATACACATATACATATGTATAACAAAATACAGTTTTACCAATTATATTTATTAAATAATGAACACAATGTAATACTGATGGCCTCTACTGAACCTACACAAAAAACAAGGATTGTATCCTTTGAGTGTGTTCATATCCTTATGACTCACATTTTCCATAAATCCTCATTTCCTAGGTGACGTTATTCTGCCCAATATGAAGTCTGTACTGCAAACTACTACTAATTTTCAGAAATTACAGGCATCCAGAGCAGAATGCAATCATCAGCTGTCTGAACTGACCTCAATTCTGAGAGCTGAAATTTACTGAAAGGATAGGCCAATGAAAAACCTTGTGTTTACAGCAGTCTGTACACTAGAATTGGTTCAAATTCCATTATTGTTTTTTTTTTTTTTTTTTTAAATATAAATGATATATAATTATTACAGAAGCAAACAATCTAAGAGGGTTCTTTAATTTTCCGTGTTCAAGTTTCCTAGGCACTGCAAAATGATCGCAAAACTAATTGAAACAGACTACAAGTAAAATAAGTCTTTTAAATCATAGCTCAAAGTAGCTCTAATATTGCTAGGAAATCCAGCTTCTATTTCAAAAGGGGTCAGGTTTGGTCAAGGTCCCTGCTCTGTATCTTGTTTCATAATTTATTCACTCCAACTTACAGCACTCAGTTTATTGCAGCAGTGGCATTTGGAACTAAAAGAGAGCCTAAGAAGAGGACCCTCTGTACAGTTCTGACATTCTGCATGGAAACCTGGGTTGAGAGTGATTCGTGTCACTGTGAAGGCATTAAATAGCATTTCAGAACCATCTAGACCTGTAGCAGTCGCCTTCTACTTTTGACCGACTGTAGATATGCTTAGTCATTAAGTAAGGGAGAAAAAAGAAAAAGAGTCCTTATTAAGACAAGACCGCATTATGAAGGTCCTAAGAACTTGGCTATGAAATGTTTACAGTACATACATAGAGAAGGATTTATCTCCATAAAAAAGAAAAAGACTCCTCCACATGCAGAGCGAGGCTCTCTAGTGGTGGAAAGAAAGTGCCTTAGGAATTACCTTGTTTATTTCTGGCAAGGAGGGGGGAAAAAAAAAGAAAGAAAAAAATCACACATACAGAGAATGCAATACAAGAACATGAAGTTCTTATTGTGAAATTGCTGTCAGGTCAGGCACTTTATCAAGAATTACAATGCAGTGAGCACGACAGCCTGTCTCAATGCAGGAAAAGGCTCTTTTAAGTCTGCATGGTTTAAGTTTCAAAATTTACTCAAACTCAGTTAAAAGACTCAACATTAAAGATGAAAACTCAGTGAGATCACAGAGCTTTGCTTTCTCTACCTTTAGCACTACTTAGACTATTTCATATTCACTATGATTATTACTGCCAGAAGCTTCTGTTAAAATTCAGAGAACATACCTTCTTTAATGGAGTTGATTGTCTCATATCATACAGCACAATATTTCTGTCAGAAGCACAGCTGCCCAAAAGGTATGTCTGAATAAACAAATAAATAAATGATCAGTATGTATTGTCTCCTAAGAATTTCTAGTGTAAGCAATAACTCATATCAGATACCTATTTCACTGAGCTGGTAGTCAAATAGCAGTTCCCTTCACTCAAGTAAATATATTACCATTCTTGGCATGCAGCTAATTCTGAACACTTTAAATAGCTTTTCCAGCAAGTTTCAGAATCCACCCAGCCCTCTTGATAAGTAACACTTTCTAATAGACTTGACTTCAACTACCAGTGCAGCCAGCCTCAGCACTCCATGACCTGCTGCAGATTAGAGGCTGCTGCTCTGCCACAAGAGGAAAAATTGCTGCCACTAGCAAGTGCCACAGATGAAAACTCCACAACCTCACAAATGCTAAGCCACATAACTGAGATACAGATATGTATTGCTGCAGGCAGAACACAGCCCTCCCTGCTTTGCTTTCTTTTCTCTCCCATCAACAGGATGAAATGATAGAGATAAATGTGCAGCACCACTTTCTAACAGAATATGCCTATGAAAACACATATATAAAGCTCCCTACATATTACATTGAAACACATAACGAAGTTTGTTTGGAAAAAGCAGTTAAAGATAATGTTAAGACAGTTTAGACCTTATGCTTATAAAGAAAAATACTGACTTCCAATACATAACAAAAAAGTTACCTCAATTGGATTAAATTTTACACTGCTTATGCTATCAAAACCCCACGTCAGAGAACACATGGGACTGGTCCTTTGCTCATCCCAGATGTCTACTTGCTGGCCACAGGTGGCAAAAACAGCATCCCTCCAGTGGTGATCAATTCCTGTATACACTGTCTGTAAAGTGGAAAAAAGAAAAAGCTTACAAAACCAAATGTATAAGTATGTAAGTGTTTTCTGATCATTACACGTTACACTGCCATGCTTTTATTTGTTTATATAACTGAAAACCAAGTTACCGTTCCTGCTGGAAACTGAGTCTTATCAGGAGCACCGCTCTACAAAAGGCTGACATTCTGGGCTCTTTCTGTCTACAAGACAGAAATGCGTGCATTTATTGCTAGCTTCCAATGGATGGGCATTAGCCATGCTTTGTAAGTGCATTTCTAACTTCAAAGCAAATGGAATTTTAAGGGTACAAATTTTCAATTAGAAAGTGAGACATAATCACTAGATATAGAGTTTCAAGTTGTCTATTCATAAAAAGCATTCAGTGTTGATAAACTGATTTTAAGAACAATTGAATGTGCTGAAGTATACATTTTTTCATCTGTTTTTTGTCAAAAATAAACCAAAACTCTGTTTTGAAATGCTGTAAGATACAGCATTAAAAGAAAATTATTTAATGAAGACTAAGTTTTTACAACACACAGCTGAACAGAAATCAACTACAGAAGATCTGATCAGTTCCCAAGAGAGTGATGACCAGTACAGACAGAACTAAGCAGTCTCTGCTAACATTTGAGATACTCCTCTCTAGTTAAATATAAAATAGAATAAAATTTTGAAGGTACTTTAAAAGGGTCATTACAAAATTTGATGCCATCACTTTGCAACACACTATGATAACAGGTGATATCAACCTATTTTTCTTTTCTCCAAAAGCTAGGTAAGAATTGACTCAGTTTAATTCAAAAGGAATGTGGGAAATCAACGCTTATCTATACTACCTTTCCAAGAATTGTATGAATTGGTTCCTCTTCTTCTCCGTATCCTGGGCTCTCCATTTTCCACTGCTTCACAGTTTTGTCATCACCAACCTAGAAAGAGTGAAAAAAGGATGCATTTCACAAAAATATATTCACCAGACATCTGTGCAACTAAGTATGAGGAACTCTGCAAACTAGAATGGATTACTAGATTTACAAAAATAAAGTGCTCTCTCTGTTCACCATTCACTTTTATACCTGCAAGAAAATTGGTTTCACTTGTCATAATATTTCACTAAGAACTGATGAAGTAAACATACATGGCCTGGCTGGGATAAAGTTAACATTCTTCACAGTAGTCCATATGGTGCCAGGCTTTGGATTTGTGGCAAGAACAGTGCTGGCAGCACCAGTGTTTTGCCTGCTGCTGAACAGTGCTTGCACTGTTATCATCCTTGATTCTCCCATCAGCAAGTAGGCTAGGGTTGGGTTGCAGAAGACTGCAAGAAGACTTGGGGGGAAGGAGGGGAGGAAACAACAGCTGACCTGAACTGGCCAGAGGGGTATTCTGTGCTATATATAGTATCAGCAATAAAAACTGGGGTAGAGGAATAAGAAAATGTGAGAGAGAAACTGACTTCCAAGTGGCTGCTGCTTATATACAGCCTGCCTGTGGAAGCAGTGGAGCAATTTCCTTTTTATTGCTTTTTAAGCAACAAAAAACATTTAACATTAAAACATGTAAGATTTTTAAACTAAGTTTTATTTAAACCATCTAAGCATTGCTCCCAAAAAATCCTCTGTGATCTAGTTGTCACTGTGGATACTTTCCAACTTTAAAGGAGATGCTTCCAGCTTTGAATAGTAGAAAAAGTAAGCTGTAAAGAGAAACTAGTTATGTCAGACTATGTTTTGTGATTCTTAATCAGATGGCACCTTGAACTCCACATAATCTTTTGGGAATGATCTGATTAGCATTTAAACTGTTGCAAGGCACTCCAGTTCAGGTGCTCCAGTTGTGCGTGCCTAACACCACACCGCCTCTCACACTATGCTGAAACAACCTTCCCCATCACTGCACAGTGACCTGGGCCAGGGAAGCAGACAAAAATGTTTACTATACAAGATAAACTTCCTCTTCTGACAGTGCTACTTCTGTTTCTTCCTCCCCTCTCTCAATTTTCAGAAAGATTGATTGACAAAGAGTAATTTGGAGTCATTAAGAATTTCCTGCTGAGATATTCCTGACATTGTAACTGGCGTCCTCATAACAAACAGGAAGACTCACTACTTTCAGACAGCTTGCATGCAACTCAGTTACATGAAGTTAATGTAAAAGAGTAAAGCCTTACTCACATAACCTTACTGAACATAGTTATCCAATGGAAGCCATCCTGAATTACCTGCCTATCTTTAACGACAGGCTATAGAAATATTTAGAAAAGTGAACACTCAAATCTTCCAATACATGTAATATACTTGTTGCTCTAACAAAAGCTAGTTTATTCAAAATGAAATTAGATGGCCATCCTCTAGCAATTATCTCTATTTATTTCTTCCATAATCTTGAATTACACCCATAACACAGCACCAAAAAGCATTTTCATCAGAAGCAATTGTCAGGTTCAGAGACAAATTGAATAAAATACAAATAGCTTCAGAATTGGTGCTCGTTAAGTGTTGTATAGAAGAGAAGTTGCCTACTGGAAAACAAATGGTGAACAGGTGTTAGACTACATTAAGGAGAGACAATATACTTACAGTAAAGAATGATGTACCACAGAAACGAGCACACATGCCTCGAACAAAGCCTTCATGGGCTTGGAAAGCACGAATACACTGTCGTTTGGTCAAGTTCCAAATTCTAACCTGTCAAAAAAGCAAGAGTATTCTGTATGTTCTTAAGATTTTTCCCCCCCCCCCTACAGCCTGTAGCTCAAGTACAGGAGCTCACACATGCTGTAACAAACTACCTATGCTGGCTTGAACAATGGCCAGATTTTATAATGTTGAAATTATTTATTCCCTTGTTGAAAAAAAATTCAGAAGTGCAACTTTTCACTGCTTATCCCATCTAGACTGTACACTTATTTTTACATTCCCCTATTTTTGAACTAGAATTCTTGCTAAGAAGCAACAGCTATTATAGTTTTAGCAAATATAAACTCTTTAAAGTGAAAAATACAAGAAAATAACCTCTGCAACAAACAAAGTGTTCTCAGTCCAGTTGCTGCAGTTCATTTTATACAGATGTCCAGCTTCCACAAATATTTCAGTTTGAGAAATTGGGCCCATTTAGAAAAAGAAAAAAAAAAAAACAGGAGCTCCATTTCCACATACTGTCAGCACTCAGTACTGCAGTTGCTCTACCAGCAGATAAGAAGTCTAGTTTCACATAAATATATTCCCCATCTCTTCAAAAAAAAGAGAAGTTCCCCTATATCACCACATGATGTGCATACATTCTGTGAGAGGCAGAAAGCAGCCAGCTACCCAGAATACCTCTTTAAAATATACAAACCCTATCAAATGAAGTGTGTGAGAGAGTACAGAGAAGACAGGCAATTCCCTCCCCCCTTGTAGCTGACTCTTAAAGTACCCTTGATTGCTACTTTTAAATATCTATTTAAAATTTCAAGCAAATGAAGAGGTGGTTGCTGTTGTTTTTTAAACAATATGCTATACTATTCCACAAAGTTTTTGATTGTGTATCCCTTCCCACATCTTATCTGATGTAATCTTCTGACTGCAGCAGCTCACCTTCTTTGGAGGGGATGCAGGTGCAGAATAGGAAGAAAAACAATTACAGACTGCAAATAGTCCACATTCACAGCTGCAGTACGAGGAACTGCTGCTACTCACTGCTGACAGCTGCTGCCTAAAGCTGTTTTAAACTCTGTATGCACTGGGAGGTCACAACCTACAGCTTGAGGAACACTGTCCTGAACTGGGCAAGCTGCACCTTCTGAGAGAAGGTCACATCTGAACAAAAGGTAATACCACAACTAAAAAAAAAAAACCACATGAAGTAGGGAGCATTTAACAGTGAAAAAGAAGAAACAGACCTTTTCATTGAAGTTCCTAACTACTGCTTACCTCTCCATCGCATGCTCCAGACAGCACTGTAGACAAACTCTTGGGGTGTTTGACTATGCAATTAACTCCATCTCTGTGGCCATCGAGTGAGCTTAGAAAAGGTTTTGCAAACACCCGCTCCAGCTTTGTTGCATTCAGAGCTCTGACGTACTCACGTGCAACCTCAAATGGATGCAGTGCAGGGTCATAGTTTCTTGGAACTGCAAGAAGAGTAACACAGGCATAAGTAATGCAATAAGAACTGTAGGTCAAGGTGAACTGAATTAGAAAACTTTTCCCATTAACTTTCCTGCCAGGTGGGGAGTTTTTGGGACACTGAGATTTTTACGCACAATACTAAGGGCCACCCTGCATTTGTCCATGCAGATACACCTGGCAAGAAACTGGGAAAGACAGCGGGCATTGACAGGGTGCTTCTGGTGCTACCTGCTCCATTCTGGTTTGTGTAAAAAGGCCGAAAGCGCAATGGAGCAAATGACACCAGATCATGCACCATAAAGTAATCCCTAGTTCAGCCTGCTGACTTCCAAGGGATATCTGACACACACTAAAACCTCTGAAATATGATGAAATTGAATTGTGTACCACCCTATCACACGACAGAGAATTTGTTTTAACAGCTTACATACAAATCACACCAGAAAAATAAAGATGTGTTAAGTTCCTGTCCCAGCTGGTGACTTTACTCTTTTTCAGTATGTTAGTTACAAAGCCACAATGAAATAATTACGAATAACTGGTATGACAGCACAGCCACTCATCTCTGAATCAAACCAACAAAGTACATGCACTTTAAACTGCTGTGGGCCTACCATCTCGCTTAAGGTGGCTGCATAAAACCAAGCCCCAAGATCATACTATGGCTTGGGTTGGAAGAGACCTCAAGGCTCATCAAGTTCCAACCTCCCTGCCACATGCAGGGCCACCAATCTCCAGATCTGGTACTAGGCTGCCCAGGGCCCCATCCAACCTGATCTTGAACACCTCCAGGGACGGGGCATCCACAACCTCTCTGGGCAGACTGTGCCAGCACCTCACCACTCTCACAGTAAAGAACTTTCCCCTGACATCCGACCTAAACCTTTCCTCCTTGAGCTTAAAGCCATTCCCCCTTGCCCTATCACTATCTATCTGAGTAAAAGGCTGACTGCTCTCCTGTTTATAATCCCCTTTTAAGTGCTGGGAGATATGGTCCTGCTCCTTCTGACAAGGGCTGCTGGTTTTACACATTTGATTTCTGACACTAAGGAGAACCTATGTCTCATTTTCAACATCTTAGAGGTGAAAAGGTGCGATCACGCAAGAAGAATTGTGACAAATACGAGGAAAAAAGAGCGCCAGTAAAACCAGCAAGACTCTGCCAATCTTGGTACAGGATGTAGTACACGATGAGGCGCCAGCAAAGAATCAGTAACAAGTACAAAACGTTCCTATGAGCAACCACGCAGCACTGAGGGCGCCCCACGAGAACCAGAACCGGGACGAGAAAGCGCTGCGCAGCGCTCCCACCCCGCGGCCATAGGAGGAGCGTGGGAGCCCCCGAGCAGCGCATGGCGGCCCAGCCGGAGCCGCCCTCCCTCCATCTCTCCCTCTGCTCTCACCGCGCTGCAGATCCAGCTTCGTCTCCCGGACGTAGTCGTCGGGATTGCGGCTCAGCACCTTCACCCGCATCCTCACGGCCAAGCACGCACACGGGCACAGACACCCACTTCCGCCTCGCCGCCCAACGGCCACCTCCTTCCCCTACACGTGACCGGAAGAGCCGGGCCCGCAGCTCTCGGCGCGGTCTCGCGAGACGCGGAGCGGCTCGGCGCCGAGATCGCCGCCGGCGGGGATGAGCGCGGCGCCGGGTGCCCGGGGCCATGCGTGCGCCGTTGGGCCGCCGGCGTCGCCCGCGCGCTCCGTGCTGCGGCACGTGCAGCTGGAGAACCTGGCGGCCGGGCTCAGCGGCGGCGTCGTGTCCACGCTGGTGCTGCATCCGCTGGACCTGGTCAAGATCCGCTTCGCAGGTGAGGCCGGGCCGGCGGCTGTGAGATGCTGCGTTCCTACGGGCGGAGCGTTCGGCCCGATCAGAGCTGCCCGGGCTTCTCGCTGTCACGGCCGCGGGCGCAGCAGGACGGTCTGTTGGTGGCGGGCGGCTCGTCCACGGCCCGCCCTCAGGCGCAGCGGTTACGTTGTAGTCCTGTGGGTAACGGGGTTGTGTTGCCGGGCAGAGAACTCTGCCTTGCTGGTTGTTCCTTATGGAAACAGCTCCTCGCCTGCATGGTGACGCTACTCGCATTATTCCCCTCTGTAGAGATTTTGCTGTATCTTTGGGTTGGTATCTTACATTTACTTGTGGTTGTTAAAAATGAAATACTGTACTGTGGAACATACAAACGCTGATGCAGTACATTCTAGAGTGAAGTCCAGAAGCGGGCCCATCTCCCTGCCTAGCTCTGAAGCACAGGCCTGTAGCACAAAGCACTGTGTTGGAGCAGCTCCCACGGAGGCAGCAGTGCTGACCACAGTGCCAGCTAAGGCTAAGCTGACAGACAGCAGCAGCTCACCCTCTGGAGTAACTGAGGGCACAGAAAGGATGAAGCCAGATCTTCTTAGAGATGAATGGTGAGGGAACAGGGACGAGCTTGAGCATGGAAAATTCTAGTTTGTTATTAAAAGTGATTTTTCACTATGGAAGTGATCCGATATTGGAAGAGGTTGCCCAGAGAGGCTGTAGTCTTTTCAGCCTTAGAAACATTCAAGAACCAACTGGCATGCCCCAACGAAAGCAGGTCTGTTTTGAAGAGAGTTGCATTAGATAACCTCTGGAGGCTCCTTCTAACCTAAATTAGTCTGTGCTTATTGTAATGCTATAATGGGGTGGAAAGTACTGAGATAATTGCAAGGTAATAAAGTTTTTGTCTGTAGCAAATGAGAATGATCTCAGATGCAACAGTCACAGAAATGAAGGAAAAGAACCACTTACCTTTGGAAGGCCTCAAAGATCTCTAACAAGAGATGCTCTCACTTCCTCTGCCAACCCTTAAATGTGGTCTGGGAAGGGGTGGAGCCAGGATCCACCCCTTCTGGACATTCAGATGCATTGCATGCACCTGAGCTGCCCTGGATTGGCCCTTGCTGCCCACCAGGTGCTCACTGTTTCAAGGCATGACTTAGCATTTCCGCTTAATGTTTATATGACAGTTTGTGTTTTTTCCTGATGTCTGCTTGTTAGGTTTTGGTTGGACTTACGAAAACTGTAAGATCTTAAGTCTATGCCTTAATTAGAGTAGCTCCTGCATTGGTTGTTGATTGTTGGTAAAATAATTGATCGACAGACAGATTTGCAACTATGTCTTTGATTTCCTACTTGTTTAATGTGCTTATAAGCCTGATTTAGTGGCAGCATGATTTAAAAAAAACAAATTGCAAAGGTCTTTCAGAAAGGTCCAGCGCTACTCAGTCAGGGGGGGAAGAGCTTTTACATAGGTGACTCTAAAAGTAATACCTCCTATTTATTTCCATGGAAACTACAACTGATGCAAAGAGCACAATAATAGTATTTGATGGAGGAAATTCTCAGCTACAGAACACATTTTTCCAACATAATCACCACCATTATATGTGCATTTTCACCAATGATGAACTTGTATGACACCCCTGTAAAAATCTGCACCAGCGCAGGGGATCCACTGTCACTGCTGTAACACACCACCCACCACCCTACTGTGCTCACATCCATTGCTTGGTTTCCGTAAATGTTCAGAAAGCATTGATAAATGTCAGGAGGTGCAATTTTTTTTCACCTGGAGGAATTCAGTGGCACATCTTTGCTTCATACACACTTTCATGTCAGACACCACTCTGTCAGACTGCCCCTCTGCTGCCATCTGTCACATGGCAACAACATATAGCAGAGTATGGTTGGGAAGGTTCAACCTCTGCTGCTGTACCACCACCATCTGCTTCTGATGTCATGAGCCAACATAATCAAGCAGGAGGAATTACTTTTGGAGCCCTCAGTTTGTGTTTTAGTTTTCAGCGATTGTCAACATACACAGACCTTGTCACAGTACGCTCACAAAAAACATTCTGTGTGTGCTGAAGTCTGTCAAAATATACAGGAGGAATGAATGCAGTGCTGAACAGAAAACATCTGAAATTAATGATTAATGTCTTGCTGGGGTATAGAAATGATGCTGACTGTAAAACTTCAATCTCAAGTAAAATTTCAATCTAACTTTCTGCCTATATGAGGAGTACAAGTGCCTGCAATTTACACTGTCATCAGTAATCATCAAATTGCCTTGCTGTTGTGATAGCAGGAACTGTCCTTACTGCTGCAAGTTGTGTGAAATCTGTGCTCTAAACAAAACCTGTCAAGCCAAAGTTTGCATTGTCTTTGTCCTGTTGGCAGTGACATTTTATGAATATTTGGCCAATATTTGGTTATTGGGTAGAATTGTGTTTATTTGATGTTTTCCTGTGAATCAATACAATGAGAAAAGAAGAGCATAAGAATTTATGATGGAAGTAACCTTTGAGTGTTGGCAGAAACTAACTTTGGAATCAGTAACACATGACCTATTGGAAATACCTGGGACTTTATAGAAGATTCACAAGAAGAAGATTTAACTTCAAGAATTCTTATTTAGGAGTTTCCCAAACTTGTAATAGAAACTTTTTCTCAAAGAGTCCATGCAAATCAGTTGAGATATGATATGAAATTCTTGGGGTGCTAAGAAGAGGACAGAAAGCTACAGGTCAAAGCAGCTGCTCTCCAAAAACGCCCATCAGTGCAGTTAGTCTTCTCAGACTGATGAGAACTTTCCTCCTGCAGGGCTTAGAAGTTCTTTTTTCTTCCTTCTTTCACGTTCTCTTAGACTAGAATTACTGAAGCTGTAAAGCCCATGTTGTTGCGTGCTTTTAAAATACAGCAGATGAATGAAGTATTTACGTTGGCTTGCAGCACTGTTTGGAGGCTGTATGCTGTGGGCTGGCTTTTACATGGTTGAACCACTTGCTTCCTGCAATGTTTTTTCAGTGTAATTTCTTTCTCTCATAGTGAGTGACGGATTGGAGCTGAGGCCAAAATACAATGGGATTCTCCACTGTATGACCACTGTCTGGAAGCGTGAAGGACTACGAGGCTTGTACCAAGGAGTAACTCCCAACATGGTGGGAGCAGGGGCTTCCTGGGGACTTTATTTTTTCTTGTAAGTAAAACTGCGTCAGATCCTATGCAATGTCATGTTCAGATACAAACAGCACCCTTCTAAACAGGTATAAAAATGGGCTAGATGGCTTAGAAACTTGCAGTCCTCTTAGTATGTCCAGGCCTTTGACTCATCGTTATGATTTGCTGTTTCATAACATGAGCAGTTGGAGTCAGAGACCTGTTACTTTATCAAGTACAGTGCATTCCCCTCAATGCTGTGAAAACACCAAGAACTTGAGAGATGTGACATCATTTGAACTTTAAAAGTTCAAACTGTGCTTAAAAGCTCATGGAAAAAAAGGAATCTGAACTGGTATGTTAAGAATCAAAGAGCATGATAAAGTTCTTTACTAAAGCTGTATAGTCAACCGTTTGTTGTTTTCTTTAAATAATTTTGATAGTTTTTTCCATTGTTTTTGTTGATGTGCTTTGCTTATATAATAAGCAAATTTCTCAAATATAAAATAAGCAAAGTTCTCAAATATTCGGTATTTTCTACTCCAGTAGTTAACTGATCTGATTGACTGCTGGTCACTATTAACTGAAACATTTTTGAATGGTCACTATTAACTGAAACATTTTTGAGAATGATTGTTTGGCATCCTGCAGAGCTCACGTGTCAGTTGTGTAGACTGAACTATTGTTGGACTTCAGTCCTCAAGCTTCACTGTAAGCTCCTATCCACAGTTCAGCTCCTTCAATGCTGAGTGGCACTTTTCAAACCACAAATATTCAAATCAGACCAAGAGATGAAAGCTCAGTGCAATTAGACAGTAAATAACTACCAGTGTTGGTTTTAATAAAAAGAAGACTGTCTAGCCTAGTTTTTTTTAGAAGTTAATTCTTGAGACCAAGTAGCTGTTTCAAGATCTAGTCCCACTGATTCCTTCAGTAGTACTTGATCAATTTAAATATGTATTGTTATGGTTCAAATAGTTAATGAATTCTTCAATTCATCAAGCAAACAATGATAGTTAGCTTAGAAATCCTTTCCAAGGTTATCTATCACCTAATGTTTTTCCTGATGGTAAGTTTTGCTTTGGTGGGTTTTTTATTTTTTTGTTAGTTTGGTTTGGCTTTGTTTTTTAGTTGGTTTTTTACCTTTACTAAAATATATCTTATAACTGTGAACAGTTACAATGCCATCAAAGCTTATAAGAAGGAAGGGAAGCTGGAGAGTCTCACTGCAACCGAACACCTGGTGTCAGCTGCAGAAGCAGGTGAGTTAAATGCAAAAAAGATGAATGTTTTCTTCTGGCCTGTCCATATGCTGCGCTTTCTCTTTGTGTGTCCGTGCTGGTTTTACTCCAGGTGGCAAGTGTGTTTGAGTCCAAATGCTTATTGTCTATAAATGAATTAATGATGTCTAGAATGAATGGATAGTTAACTATGGTCCTTTCAGTTTTGCTCAGAAGTAGCAGTTGTTAAGATACCTTCTGGTCTTGTTTTTATTATACATAAAGCTTGAGGGTTTTTTCCGTATTTAGTATAACGCTGAGTCTCTAAACATAACTATTTAAATTAGCTGTTATTAG